GACGGACGGACAGACGGACGGACGACGGACAACGGGTGATCAGAAAAGCTCACTTGAGCTTTCAGCTCAGGTGAGCTAAAAAAAACACTTGCTGTGGCCTTCAACTCGTCATTTGAATATATCGTGAAAGTACCGGTATTATCAATTAACAATAATTACTTTCATTCATATGTCTACTCGATATATCTCAGTGAGATTGAAATAAAAGATACCAAAGTGTCTGACAAATCTGTTTAATATTTGGATATTTTACTAGAAAAAGACGTTAGTGGTAATCTAACAATAAAGCTTTATGATAAACGTGATGACTTCATTTTTCAGTCCTCAAATTCCCTTAAATATCTTACATATATAGCAGTATACCCTTATCACCTGCATATGCAGTTTATGTCACCCAGTTTATTCGATACACAAGAGCATGCTCTAGGTATGAACAGTTTCTGAAACGAGGCAAGCTATTGATAAACAAGTTTTTTTTTAAACAAGGTTATCAACTGTCTCGTTTGAAGTCATCATTTCGCAAGTTTTATGGTCGATACAATGACCTTGTCAGCAAGAAAACCTATCATTAAGTAAAATGCTGACTGACTTTTCAGACTAATAATTCAGCCATTATTTAGGCACTGAATTGTCTACGGACATTTCAGGTTTTTCCGATCATGACAAGGAGCACACGGATGGCAGGGGATGCTCACTCCCTTGCCTTGTTAATCTATAAAATCAATGTTCATATTCTACAGTTATTTTTCTTCTTTATTGATTTCTTGAGTAAAATGTCCTTTATCAGTTGATAAACGATTCAATAACATGCTTTTTTTACTTTCAGTTAAATACAGGCCTTTTTTGGAAGGTCAAACCTTCCGGCTTGGTTTATCAGGATTAGGCCGACTTCAGTCTTTCTGTTGATTTTAATGTTTTTTTTTTTTTTTTTTTTTTTTTTTTTTTTTTTTTTTTTGCTGAATGATAGTTTGCAGTATCAAGGTGTTAAGAGAAGTTTTTCAGTAGAAGTGCTTTAAATATTAAGGTGAAAGAAAGAGTCTTTCTCTTTGTTGACTCCAAAGTCTTAATGATTGTCTTTTACACATTTGATTCCTATACCTCTCATGCAAAATGATGCAAAATGATTAAAACAATATATATCATGAATATTATTTTCGAAATGTTAGTTATGTAGTAAGATGAACCATTTACTTTCGGATTTAGCACCAAAGTATGTTCACAAAACGGTTCTGTTTTATAATGGTGTTCTTTTTAATTTCTACTGTGTTGTAAAGTATTGCAGATTATTTTTAATTATTATCATTACTTGATAAAAAAGATCAACAGTATCGTTCATTTTTATGATTGATTTAATAAATAATGCTAATAAACAAAAATGATTTAGGAAGTAGACTACGGAAGCATTTTTTTCCTGCTGTTAAATCCCTTTTTAGTTTGGAAAAATATCATTGTTATTTTTTTTTAATAAAGGAACATTAACCAGCTTGGCGCAGTGGTAGAGCGTCTGCTTTATAGTTGCGGAGTAAGGAGGTGATCCTTACGTCGCGGGTTCAAATCCCACTGTGGGACGTGAAGACCGGTCCTTTCGATATGACCGTATATAAACCGAGGTCCCGTGTCGCAGTAGGTAATTGGCACGAAAAAGATCCCTCACTGCTCAATGGCCCTATGTGCCGTGCATAGGTCAAAATTTGCAGCTCTCCACCGGCAAGTGGTGGCGTCTCCATACGAGAGAAAAATTCTCGAGAGGGATGTTAAACAACAAAAAACAAACACACATTAACCAGTCAGAGTATGTATGTTGCATAAAACATCAAAAAAAAAAAAAAAAAAAAAAATGCAGAATATATAAAAAAAAATAGCACTATGAAATAATTTTCTCTCTGCATTGACGCAAATAATATCATTATGTATCATAATTATTATTCTATATAACGCGTTATATGATTGGTTCTAGATTATCACGTGACATGGCTATAAAACTTCATATTTCCCTGCCGTCGTCATGCTTTTATCATATTCAACGTCTTCGGAGACCAAGTGCATTTTCCCGCAATAGTTATCGTTCGTTGAAAGAAAACTCCCGAGAGTAGAAGAAGTCACAATAGCCTAGTGCACGTCACAAAATTGCTGATGGACTTCTGTAAATTGTTTCAGTAACATTTCGTTAAAATTGAAAGTGAATTTAAGAGCGGTGCCAAATTTGAAAGTTTATGTCAATTTTTTGCTTGTTTCGGTATAATAAACAATTTATTGCATGAATGTTTGGGAAAAATGAAGATTTATTCAGCCAAGAAATATCATATTCTTCTCGAGGGAAGCCCTCGGGGAATATGATTTTCTTGACTGAATAAGTCTTCATATTTCCCTCACAATCATGCAATAAATGTATAATTTCTTTATTTCTTTTATTTTTAATTATTACGTTTTATTTCAAAAAAAAAAAAAAAAAAAAAAATAATAATAATAAAAAAAAAAAATCTTGTGATCTGTTTCGAATGGTATTAAAATTCTTAAACGTTTTTCACTGTAATTTTTTAATTTTACTGTCTTGTGCTTTGTTTGATGTTTAACGTCCCTTTCGAGAATTTTAACTCATATGGAGACGCCACCACTTGCAGGTATAGAGCTGCAAATTTTGACCTATACTTGGCACCTAGGGCCATTGAACAGTGTGGGATCTTTGCTAGCACCTACTGCGACACGGGTCTCACCCGAAGGACTGGTCTCCACGTCCCACAGTGGGATTCGAACCCCCCTAACAAAAATTTACTATAGTTAACTACAGTTTACTATAGTTAACTATATTGAAAACTTTGATACTTTGATTTACTATGAAACTTTACTCTGGAACTTTTTTTCAGATTTCAAAGCTTAAAATCTCAAAAATTCGATAACAGTAATGTAAAATTTGGAAATAATGTGTGAATATACAAATAATATTTCAATTAAATATAAAAAAATGTGCATGTATGCACTGAAGAACAAAAAATATAACGATCTGAAATCCATAGTAAAAATACTTCGATTTACTATAGTTAAAAAACTTTGATACTAAAGTTAACTATAGTTAACTATAGTAAACTATAGTTAATATAGTACTTTTTTATTAGGGCCGCGACGTAAGGATCAACTCCTTACTCCGCGACTCTAGAGCAAGCGCTCTAACCACTGTGCCACGAGGGCGACTTTGATTATTCAGTAGTAGATGATTTTTAATCTATTTATAATATATCCATATAGTGTTTATTATCGGTTGTAAAATGTGCGTCTTTAGGCAATATTTTAAATCATAAATTGATTGACGTCGCCATCTGTAATTGATACCATTAAGTATCATAATTGAAGTATATATCATTATTTGCAGCACTGTTGTTGAATAATGATACAAATATGCCAGAAATGAATATAAACTAATCCAGACATTCTAAATTTCCGCATAGCGGGTTTTTCTTGGCGGGTGTAAAATTTGCGTTTTGCTTGGCTAAAAGTATGCCAATAATTTTGGCGTAATTTATTTTCGCGGGCACAGGGTTCCAACTCTTTGCAAAATAGCACTAAGAAAAACTGAATATTTTAGCGATTAAAATTTTAGCGGACTACTACCAAAACGCCAAAATAAGGCAATATAAGCACCGCACTAAAATAAACTCGCTATTCGGTATGCCGTATATCATAAGTGGTAACAACAATGTTCCATTTTTACTTTTTGTCTCCATTACGAGAGTTAAATACAGGGCATTTATTTTAATTTAATATATATTACCTCTTTATGAAACATCCTTGAAGGCACTGATTAATTCAACCTGTTGCACTTTGTCTCGATTCTGCCCTGTTTCTGACTTCGCTAAAGGCTGCTTTACTGTTTTATGCTGATGTAAAGTCATTCATTTTTTAAATTAATGTACTTAATGTTATTTGCCATTGACCAAAAACATAAGTTTTGACCGAGGCGAAAGATATTTTATTATTTTCAATTAAAAAAGATATGTAATGTTATACAATTATGAACTCTTTTGGTGGTGAATGTAAATCTTATACGGTACCGATTTTGATGAAACCAAATGCGCATTTCCACAAATTATGTGTCTTCAGTGATGTTCATGCCGAAACGTTGGAAATCTGAAATACTTGTATCTAAACAAAATGCATGAGGGAATTTTTCCTTAATTTTGAAATAAATTTCAAAATTCTACCACAGCAATGAAATGTATATTCGTATTTTAAAGCTAGTACCGAAGTACTTAGCTACTGGGCTGTAGAGACGCTCAGGGACTGAACAGTCCACCAGCGGAGGCCTCGATTCAGGGGCCATAATGTAAATCTTATACAGTGCCAATTTTGATGCATAGCTTTACTATCTCTATAGGCGTTACCTGTACATGTACTTGGAATGCCAGAGATATTTCATTTTCTGTCAGGAGATTTGTCTTTTTCAGATGGTATCAGAAGAGTTTTCTAAATATCAAAACAATTCTTTTTACAAGGGAGAAACCATGCAACATAACCCCTGATGTACCACAGAATATCACGTCAATATTTTCACAACTGCCTAGTTTACAAAATACACTGAGCTATTGAATTTTCTCAACAATTTTTTTTTATAATCCTTATAAAGTTATCTTAAGAAATTTTTCATGAAAATTCCAACATTATATATTTTAAATGTAAGCAAACTAAAACGCTAGAGAACGTGAAAGATCTAGTACATGTTATTATTCGGATTCGGTAAGATACAAAAATGGCCATCTATATGTGCTTGACTAGCCGAGCTCGGCAACTGACCATTCGATTATCTCGATATCTCCTATTATAGATCATATACAACTGATCTTATCTTGCAGCATCCTGGTTTCACAACGAACGTAAGAAAATAAAAGAAATGAAATATTAATCAAGATACAAGATCCAATAATAAAACATTAACATAAATATAATATTCTTGGCAGATATAGATGCTTGTTAGAAATGTATTGTACTGTATAAAAAAGAATAAAATATCCAAAGATGACACAAATTTCTTTCGGAGATATCATGAAAATAGAACGTGTATATCCGTTTTAAAATAGATGTGAAAATGTTGTATATGCTTTTCAAACCACAAAATATTTGATTAAAATTATTTCATTTTCGTTATTTCTTTTAAATTGTTTATTTTCGTAGCACAGGAGTAATTAAAAAAATAGTTTTTAAATCGGTATATGTCCAATTTTGTGCCATGTTCTTCTGTGAGATGATTAGCCTTTGTTATTACATTTGTCAGTGACATCCTCTCCGTCATATATCCAAACAGACATACAAGGACAAACAGCTCTGTAAAGAAAAAAAACTGTATTGTAAATTATATAGGTAAATAAGCAAAAAGCAGAAATAAATAAAAGATTACTTTTTATAGGTATTTGCAAAATGCACTTGTGAATACCATAGATCATCACTGTATTAAATATCCTAAAATATGATCAGTACTGAAACATTGATAGCCACGTGTAATCTGTTTTATTTTGTTTTTAGCTCACCTGAGCCGAAGGCTCAAGTGAGCTTTTCTGATCACATTTTGTCCGGCGTCCGTCTGTCTGTCTGTAAACTTTTCACATTTTTGACTTCTTCTCAACAACCACTGGGCCAAATTCAACCAAACTTGCCACAAAGTATCTTTGGATGAAGGGGATTAATTTTTTTTCAAATGAAGGGCCACGCGCTCTTTCAAGAGGACATAATTAGGAATTAGTGAAAAAAAATGGCATCATTTAAAAATCTTCTTCTCAAGAACCACTGGGCCAGGAAAGATGAAACGTATGTGAAAACATCCTCAGGTAGTGTAGATTCAATTTTGTTCAATTCATTACCCCCGGGGGTAGGGTGGGGCCACAATGGGGGATCAAAGTTTTACATAGAAATATATTGGAAAATATCTTTAAAAATCTTCTTCTTAAGAACAGCAAAGCCATGATTGGTCATATTTAAATGGAAGCATCCTTTGGTAGTGTAGATTCAAATTTGTTCAAATCATGACCCCCGGGGGTAGGGTGGGGCCACAATGAGGGATCAAAGTTTTACATAGAGAAATATAGGAAAATATCTTTAAAAATCTTCTTCTTAAGAACAGCAAAGCCATGATTGGTCATATTTATATGGAAGCATCATCAGGTAGTGTAGATTCAAATTTGTTCAAATCTTGACCCCAGGGGTAGGGTGGGGCCACAATGGGGGATCAAAGTTTTACATAGAAATATGTAGGAAAATATCTTTTAAAAACCTTCTTCTTAAGAACAGCAAAGCCATGATTGGTCATATTTATATGGAAGCATCCTCATGTAGTAGATTCAAGTTTGTTCAAGTTATGACACCCCCAACCCCCAACCCCCCGGGGATAGGATGGGGCCACAATGGGGGATCAAAGTTTTTCATAAGAGTATATAGAAAAAAATCTTTTTCTCAAGATCAACAAATCCATGACTGGTCATATTTCTATGGAAGCATCATCAGATAGTGTAGATTCAATTTTGTTTAAATCATGACCCCGGGAGGTGAGGTGGGGCCACAATGGGAGATCAAAGTTTACAGAGGAATATTTAGAAAAAAATCTTTTTCTCAATAACAGAAAAGCCATGATTAGTCAAATTGATATGGAGGCATCCTTGGGTAGTGTAGAATGAAATTTGTTCAAATGAGGGCCCCCGGGGGTAGGGTGGGGCCACAATGGGAGATCAAATTTTTACAAATGAATATATGGGTAAAAAATCTTCTGCTCAAGAACAGCAAAGCCATTTGTTATATTGATATGAAAGCATCATCAGGTAGTTTAAAATTCAACCCCCCCCCCCGCCCCCGTAAACTTTTCAATACTGAACTGATTTTTGCTTTTTTCTTAGCCAAGGTGCTCAGGTGAGCGATGTGGCCCATGGGCCTTTTGTTGACATGTGGTTTTTTTTTATTTTGATATTCATTTGCTTTCCATTTCGTCTTTATATAATAATAATGAAATCGATATATTGTTGAATAAAAAAAAATCATCTCTTTTACTGTTTTATTATTTATTGAAATTCTAAGAGTATATTCCCAAAGGATTTCTAATTAAAAAAACGAAATGATTTATTTTTCGTTTTGTCAAACACGCTCTATTAACCTATTTGGAAGTAGTTATGCAAATCATTGTGTTGCAGTCTTTTATTATAAACAGAGAAGACTACCTGCTTTTGCCTAAAAATAAATATGATCTTTGAAAAAAATGTTGTCAAAGTTGTGCATGTTCTCGGAGAAAACATTTTTGATCAATCACGTACTGAGTTGTACAGTATAAGATGTAACAAAAATATGTCTTTTGAATTGTCCAAAGAAACGAGACAACAAATTTCACTGAATCACGGAAAAAGCACATTTATTTATTAATTTCCTTCATTTAAAGATGGCAAAATGCATAAATCAGCTTATGAATCTTTAAGCAGTTTAGATTGTACTCACACGCAGGTGGCCCGGGGAAAGGCTGGACAGGTTTCGGTAGTACAGGCTCTATTAAGACACCCTATCCTTGAACAGACTAAAAAACAAGTCAAGTAAAAGCTGTATAACAACCAAGCACATGGTTGAGCTTAGACATTTACCCAATATTCTCATTTCGACTTACATTGTAGCTAATTCCAATATTCAATATTTCAATATTCTCTATTCAATAACCTGAGTCGAAATTCGCCGCCTTCAAATGTGTATCAGATTAGACTAGTTTAACGGAATAAGCATTCAAACAGGCTGTAAAAAACCAAATTTGAAAAAAAAAACATTGAAGTTCAATTAAAAATATGAAGATATTATCATTTGTTGATGTCTTTAATCTTATTTGAGCCGCGACATTTCTTTCTTTCAAAAAAAATAAACCTGTGCGGTTGATGGCTATACAGTACATTAGGACTTATGGTTTTGTATGTGCCTAAAGCATATGCCGTTTACGATTATATAAAGTACTGTACATTCCTAAATATACACCAGGAATTAATTATCGCGTAATTACGCGAGAAGCAACACTCTCATAATAAAATTACTCGCTTTTATTGTTATGGCGCTGAAATCAATGTAAAATCCCTTGATCAACCGTCCACTCGCGAATTATTGTTCTCGCGATTTGACGTCAAGGAGTCATTTCGCGAATATAAGTACTAGCGAAAAAATAAGGAATCTAGAGTATAAAACTGCTTACTTGTAGATCCCTATTGTTTTCTTTTTTGTATGATGGTCTCACTTTTTTCTATTACACAAAAAAAAAATCCATTTTTTTGATTAAATTTTTTTTTTTAAATTGCTTGTTTGCTTGTTTAACGTGCCTTGGAAAATTTTTCACTTATATTGAGACGCCACAATTTGATCTCCATTTATATGATTTCACCCGAAGGACCAGTTTTCACGTCACACATTGGATTTGAACCCGCGACGCTAGGATCAACCCCTTACTCAGCGAATCTAGATCAGACGCTCTAACCACTTCGCCACGATGGTGACCCTTATCAACTTAAAAAAAATAAATACATAATAAAGATTGTCTGCTTACATTTGTTCCTGCAAACCCGATTGCAGAGTTCTTTAGTTCGAAAATTGTTTGCATTTCCTCCACAGCATCCGTAGATAAACTCACGGCAGGTGCCCGTTTTAGTGTCGTGATAATACCGGGGACAGTAGCCTCTGCACAAACCGGGTTCCGCAGGTAAACTACAGATTGACTTTCCTAAATTGACATGGAAAATGAATTATAATAAATTACATTTCGTTCATTTTTTTTTTATATAATATGTATCAAGTGTGTCAAAATTATACTAATTGAACAGATCATATTTCTTTGTGAATATACAACACTCCAAATAAGGTAGGTATAATAATGTGTTAGTTTAGCATTATACTCAAGACATAATAGAGTATATATTTGATCTTTTTCTAGAAAGTCGTCACAGCTGAGTTTAACTGTATTTCCCTGAATAGCGTCGACTTTTGTTTTAGTAGACAGCATTACCAATTATGCATTTTATTGTAACAGGCATGCGTACATGTATTATTGCCTACCTGGAGGTGGAGGACGATATCCTTGTCCGATAACTGCAGCCTAGAAAGTGATGGCGTAATTCAAAATAAATAGATACTAAGTTCATAAATTCATTTTTGTACCGTTTGCTTTTTATTGTGTACTCACTTTTTATACGAAAACAATACCCCAAAAATATTCTTTACATCTATAGAAAGGTGACATTTTTGTACAAGGAAATGAAAAATGACTCAGAAGCTTTGACCGTAAGTTAGGATGACCGTAAGTTAGGATGTCTGAACCCTCCCCCCCCCTTTCCAAAAAAATCTAAGTAGAAGTTCAGACCAAATCATCATATAAGTAAAAAAAAAAAAAAAAAAAAAAAAAAAAAAAAAAAAAAAAAAAAGGTGGCATATAAAATCTAATCGATTTCTGCAGTTTATTATCTACCATAACAGTGAAATTTAAAGTTTTATTTTTCCAAAAAAGAAATATGACTCTATAAACACTTGTATATGAAATTATATTATTTTGATTTAAACTGTCACTCAGGGACTTAAACATGCTTATTTATCTATTACTGCTTATACCATATACAATGTGCATTTTACCCCAGAAAGACAGTTAATATAGGAAGAATCGGGAAGGTTTCAATGAATAAAAGTTGAATTAGTGTATAGGTTGTTTTAAACGATAAACAAGTTAGGTCATCTCGTTGGATCAGATTAAGTATTTATATAAGAAATGCCGGGTATATTTTTATAAGTCTTTTTTTACGATAAACAAGTTACCTCATCTCGTTAGATCAGATTAAGTGTTAGTATAAGAAATGTCGGGTATATTTTTACCGATTTTAAGTTTGAACATATGTAGTTTTCTGAAATCAGTAGATGAGATCATGTCACTTTCTATGTTTTAATAATAAAAAGCGTAAAACACTTAAAATTAATTCCTTTCAAATCTAAAAAAAAAGAATTTCATAAAATTGATTTGTATGAGTTTTCCTTATCTGAACACATATTAAAAGGGTTAGCTTGAAGTTAATACTTTTTCCTTGAGCAAAAAATTACATGAAAAGTATTGGGTTATTTCCTCTTGAACCTTTAAAAATGAAATAAATTACTTACATGTATATTTTCTTTTAAACACAAAAAAAAAAATTGTCAAACTGTCATCCCTCATTTTGGCGTATTATATAACTAGTAGTTATGTCTGCTAAAATATTTATAAAATGTCCTTAATAGAACTCACATCTTATGTATGTTTTTATATTGTTAAAGACAGTTTGTTGGAGGTGAGCGCAAAACAATTACCAAAGGGTAAAGGATGATTTGTTATTAAAATATAGTTGAGTTTCTTTATGTTTGATGTTTCTTGCTTCAATGTTATAGACAAAGGCTTCTTATGAATGTATCTTTCTTTTTAAATCTAATTTTAACAAAAGGTAGTTGTAGAAGTGAAGAGGATGCACTAAAGCGTTGTTCATCGATAAACGGTGGAAAAAAAAACCCCAAAAAAAACAGTGGTATAGAAAGAATCTCTTTTGGATATAAATTATACTCGTTATACTGAATTATACACGTTGATTCCGGAGGATAAAAACAAACGATATAGTGTTTTTAATTGCTAACTTTACTCTTATTAAGCTTGGGGAAATACTTTAAGGAATAAAAACAATATTTACTTACGATTACAATAGTCAATGTCAAGCCAAGTAAGATTAAACGTTCCATAATTGCTGTTTAAAATTGTATTGATAAGCATACTTTATATACTTGTCGGCGAACGCGAATCACGTGACTTGAACAGGTGCTCTACGTTATATTTTTTAACGATGATCCGTAATTAACATTTCACGATTTTGCTACTGTACCTACAGCTACAGCATACATATGTGAATTTAGAGTACAGTGATATTATATGTGGTTCATGAGATCTAACTATAATAATAATTATCAGATGGATGTATACCCGCCACTCCCCTATCCCCAAAATGGAGTGAAACAAGCAAACGTACATTGTTGTCCTTTGTGTGTTTGATTATTGATAAAAACAAATTAACACTACCGGCTTCTTATAATACTTGTGAATATGGCAAAGAAAAATTATTTGAATGCATTGAAAAAAAAAAGTATTTGTTGGCTGATTTTCTTGTCTTATGTTTGTTGCTTGCTTGGATTTTTTTTTCGTTAAAACATAAGAGTTATTTCAAAATTGTAATTACCAAGTTTTAATAGACAAAGACAGTTTTCACAAATCACCTTAAAGGGATCCCATAAACATTATACAGATCTAGGTAGGCTAGTGGTAGGGCGTTCGTGTTGTGATCAGGAGGCACAAGTTCGATACTCGTTCCGATTCAAACCTTAGACGTAAACATAGTACGATATTGTTTCTTCACCAACCTCTCGATGAAGGAAATGAAACTCGCAGGTCCTACAAATGAGACCTTAAAATCCGAGGTTCCATGTCACGGTAGACATTGGCACGAAATAAAGACCCTAACTGCTCACAGGCCTAGGGTATAGGTCTAATTTTGAAGCCCTTCACCGATATATGGTGACGTCTTATATGAGTGAAGAATTCTCAAATAGGATGTAGATCAACAATTAATGAATCATAAACATAGCTTTATTCTTCCAAAAAGCATAACACTATTACCGAGACCTTGTAAAACCTTCATCTCAACATAGCTACAATAAAAATAGAGAACATATTCCCAAGATAAAAAAAAGAATGGATAGAACTTTTTTTTTTTATAATTAGTATGTTTTTACATTTGAAGAATAATATCCAAAAATTAAAGCGAAAATAAATACATGTTATAAAGCATAAGTGACTTTTGGTTTAAGATATTTAAAGGAAAATGATGTAATGAAAAAAGAAAAAAAGATGCAACTGAAACTCTGCATTAAACATGACAATATAAATCTCAGTACATTGCTCATTAGTAGTGTGATATAAATGGTGATTACAGTGTAACTGCTTGGAAGTAAACAATATTGATTGAATATAACATAATGTATCTGACGACAATTGTTTTTAGTGATAATGCTCGCACAGATTTATATCTACACAGCTATATTAAAGCTGCCCAAAGCATTAAAATCCATTCAAAACAAATAATACAATTTCCAGCTCGATTTTGATTTTATATAATTATGTAGACTATGAACATGAATAGAGACAATTTGCAAAAACGGATATCTCGACTACATATCAACACATCTATCTCATGACGGTCAATTATATGTTTTAAGTGTTGCACATAGATTGCTATTGCACAAAAGCTTAACACAATATTTATTTCATTTTGTTACAGAAATAAAGTTATTGTAACCTTATGTTACTCAAGAATGCTTTGCTCGAGCAATAATCTGTTATTGTCTGATTTTTTTATGTGAATTTCACTTTACAAAAAGTTAAGTACCACTGTAGGCGTTGAATGATAAATATTCTTTTCTTCTCAGTGGCTCCTACTGCGGAATAATAATTGGATCACATTTAAGCCGATAGTCCGTCGAAAAATTTTTTTCTCGTATCGTCGGCTGAAAAACATAATCGGCCGACATAAGTATCGGGCTACGGGGAGAAGTCACATTAATTCCTAGGAATATCGATGACTTTAAAAGTTTAAGTATTTATAAGTCGGTCAATCGCCGCCCGATCATCGAGCGCTGAGCCGCAGTTTGATTTTCATCGTCGACAGACATTAACGAAAAAACAGTACCTAAATGTCAACCGATCGAACTGTCTGCAGATGGTCGGACTATGATCTAGGGTTGGTCGATGGACGATTCCATAACTGCTTCAGCTAAAGTAATCGACCACATACGCAGAAAAAAAAATTAACTGGCCACGACGGACACAAAATTGTTCGGCGACAAAAAAGAGGTCAGAATCGGGCAAGACAACAGCAGATAATCTGCCGGTTGTTGTCGAAGAATCACATTTTTTGCCTCAAAATCCGTCGGCCGTTGGTCGTTTTTGGATACGTGACTGGGGTTTAAAGGTCAATAGGGGATGCTTACTCCTCCATGGCACCTGATCCCACCTCTAATATTGTTAGAGGTCCATTTTTCCTCTACTTCCGATTGGTATTGTTTCAATGGACTTTTGTGCTTAATTATTGTTCATTACTTACTATTTCATTAATTTATGTTGTTATTACAATATAGTCTTTAAAACATTTTTAATTGAACTAGATTTTGAATTTATTGTAGCATAGTGAGATGAGACAAAACATTTTAGGATTTTAAACTAAACTGTTTGTAGAAGACATTATCTCTTTAAAAACACTTCATCCAATGAAACTTTAGTAGCAGCCATATATATAATAAAGATATTCACTAATAATGTATTGTTAAATAAGTAGATGATTTCCAATCCATTTATGATATATTTACTGATACACACTGTATAATTCTGATAATTTACTACATTTATTAAAATTAGGAATCAGTGTATATCTTTGAAATTCAAAATCTTTGAAACAAGCATCTTATATACATAAAAATTTATGATATATCAATATAATTGTCATCATCGGTTTAAGATCGTGCATTCAAATATTTTTTGTCATAAATGGATTACGGCGGCATCTCAAAACGATACATTTTGCATTTTGAACTTTCTTTCATTATTTGTCATAATGGTGGTTGAAAAATGATTCAAAAACATCATTAATGGTTAAAGTTATCTAATCTATTCTACATTACACAATAGGCAGACGTGATCATACGCAGCTATGTAAAGACTATTAGACACATAATCTTTTATTTCGAGCAAGGTTCGAGCTATGTTTTGATTTCAGTTTGTAAACTAAGTATACATGTACAGGAAATATTCGAAGAGTTTTACCAGGTATTGTAATAATGGATTTTTTATGTCACATGACTTTGTTGATCACGAGTCCTAAATGTTGCACAAAAATTGCATCGACACAAGTGATAAACATTTTTTGTGAACGTTTTACTGTGGTTTCATCAATATTCGTTGAGCACCAATTTTTGAGGATTTCGTGGTTGAGCAGATCTACGAAACTAAATGTTCATTGACTTAAGAAATAATGATATTCATTTGTATAGGCAATGCTTTTGTACACGAAATTACGTAACCTCGAAAACGTACGTTTTACAAAATACACGAAAATTGATACCAACCAAAATTGATGAAAGTGCAGTATTACATACGAGGGGCGATCAAAAAAGTTTGCGAACTGTCTCTATATTTACAAAACCGCAATTAAGATCAAAATGAAATTTGTCAGACATATAGTCATACACATGTTCTATAAATAGCAGTTGTTAGGTAATATTTTGCTCCATTTTTGTGACGTCAATATGTAGGTGACTTATGACAAAAAATGGTTGACTCCACCGTACCCGCGCAACGAATGGCTGTAAAGTTTAACGCATATCTTGGAAATTCCTTTGCAGTAGTAGATGATAATTATTACAAGGTTCATGAAGATGAAGGACTTTCCAGACGTTCAATCATTAACGTAATTAATTGGATTAATTGGATTGATTGTTTTAGTGAAGAAAGGGAGATGGTTAACATGATGTTTGTTCTGTTGTTCAGTGAAAGCAAGATGGGGAAGAGATGTATCCTTAGTTGAGCAAATTGTAATGAGAGATCGCCAAGTTACAATTAGTAAAAAATTAAAAATGTTGACAATATAATTATTAAATCCCCGAAATATTATTTACTTTAGACTTTAATCATATTAGATATGATAAAAAGAAGGCCTCCATACTTCATTCACATTGGATAGCGCAGTGGTTAGAGCGTCTGCTCTAGAGTCGCGGAGTAAGGAGTTGATTCTTACGTCGCGGGTTCGAATCCCACTTCGGGACGTGGAGACCGGTCCTTCGGATGAGACCGTATAAACCGAGGTCCCGTGTCGCAGTAGGTGCTGGCACGAAAAAGATCCCTCACTGCTCAATGGCCGTAAGTGCCGAGTATAGGACAAAATTTGCGGCTCTCCACCGGCAAGTGGTAGCGTCTCCATATGAGTGAAAAATTCTCGAGAGGGACGTTAAACAACAAAAAACAAACACACATTAACCAGTCAGAGTATGTATGTTGCATAAAACATCAAACCAAAAAAAAAAAAAAAAAAAAAAAAAGAACAACAACAACACATTGGATAAACGAGGTTCCCTCGAGATGACTCGGGTTGTGACGGTCACTATGCTCATTCTAGGAACGGATATCCTTATCTACCCATCCTACAGCCGATATTTGACCATTTCTGACAAAAGACTGTTCCTGTTATAAAAAAAAATAACTTGAATGGTAAGAAATATAAGACTTGGAAGAATATTTTAGCCTCTGTGAACAGAGGGCAGCAGAGCATGTCACGTGACCGCCTGGATCACGTGATTCGCGCATGGGCAGAGGGAGGCAAATGTGCATTAAAATAGGAGAGGACTACTTGACAAAATGATGAACACTGAAACCTAATTTTATTTGTTTTATGGAAGTAATTCAATTAGTGTGCGAACATTTTGATCACCCCTCGTAAGTAAATTAATTATATTCTATATGAAGTCATTGGAGTTTGGACTTCAACTCATACATTTTCCACTCTTCATCGCAATTTGTACAAAATAGGCTATTTAACATACCCCCCCCCCCCCGCACGATTCAGATAGACGACATGAATCATGAATTCTTCCTGTGTGGACGAATATGTGACGGGGAGCATTTTATATTCTACTTTTTGTCA